AAGATTAACTAAAGAGTTTTCTGTGTTAGACAATTATTTGAATCTGCATTCATCAAGAAGTTTTTGTGGGCATGTACATCTCTCCTATATTTATAAACAATATTCAATTCCATTTGATACTTTTTCTATATCATTTACCCAGAGCAGGAACAATGATGGTGATGGTTATGAGAAGTGGACTGTCATAAATTGTTTTCAACCTGTTTATTGTTCTGCTATCACAGCATCTGAGTAGAGATGGCAAACTTGCCAGTCTCATAAATTCAAAAAATGTCCCAGCAGCTGAGAACCAGCACCACCAAAAGTCTAGAGCAAGATTGGAACCCATTTCTAATAAAATCAGACCAGGAAACATAAGGGAAATGAAAGTTCACTAATATCCTGAAAGTGCTTCTAATGTACCTCCCAAAATCAACCGTTTCTTTCCTTCCCACTAGAATATTAGGCAAAAGAATGAGTTAGTTTCACGTTCATATTTATAGACAATGTAAAGGATATCTACGTGAGAGGGAAAGCCCTGAAAGGTTTCTTTACTGTAACATGAGCCAGCCAGAAAAAGTTGACAGTATTGTCCCATACAAATCACACCCCCTTCAGAGACCAGGAGAGGCAGATAAAATTCCCTTCTTCCCAAAGATCTGGCAGCCGCTGTTGAAGTATAAGACTTGTGTGTCTTCCTTTACCCATCTTCGATCTCATTTCTGCTAATCCCCTTTAAAGGTTCTTGTAACCAAGATCAGGGAGAGGAGGTGAGGACCTCTTTGGACACCAGGAGGAAATGACCCACTGTTTTTCCCCCACACCACCACTGAGCATATCAAACCTTTGTTTCTAGAAGGACTTTACAAATGCCCTGGGCTATTCACAAGCGCTGGGACTCAACAAAGTCTCAGGTCACAAACAGGCATCTTTCCAAAAAATGAGCAAGGTTTACAGGCAGCTGTTTATTAGAAGGCCTTCTCTACGCAGTGATAAGGACAGCTGACTTGACTTTCTGCAAAGGTGATGTGATGGGCGCTAGTGAATAACAACAGTGGCCTCTCTGTAGAGCTTGGCTCAGCTTCCATGGGCTTCCTGGTCTTTGCTGGTGTCTCCATGCTGAATTCTGTTCTTCACCACAGGCCTCCTCAAGCGGGTCATCCTGTTCAGCACAGGCTACACACTGTTTCTATGAGGTTTTATCACATCACTCTCCTTCCTATTACCCCAGAACAGATGAACTGTGGGGAGTGGGATGCGCAGGGTCATCTGTTTCTCTCTTGTTCTCTTCCCAATGCATAAACCCTATGCCTTTCTTCCCATTAGCCTTTGATTTTTAAGAATCTGCTTTTTTAATGTAAATTTTATTAACATTATCACCACCCAGATAAAACAATAGAAAAAAACCAGAACCCCTAAAGTCCTATTGTGCTTCTTTCCAGATACCCTAAAAGTAACTGATATCCTGACTCTTAACACCACGCATTAGTTTTGCATGCTTTTGAACTAAATGTTCAAAAATGAAATGAATTAAATGTTCATATACCATTTTTTGCCATGTATAACATGCATTTTTTTGCCCAAATGTGTGAGGGAAAATTAAGGATGCACATTATACATGAGTAGCATTAATTCTGTATCTATATAAATGTTTTTAATTCTTTTATTTATGCTTGTGAGTTAAAAGTGTAACTCTAGAAATCAATAACGATACTCGTATGCAAAATAATACCCTGGAATACAATAATTGGTTTTGTTGAACTTACCATGAACTTGCAATGATGAAGAGTTCTTGGCATTCTATGATGCATAAATATCATAAATTTGTTACCGGTACATAAAATTTCTTGTACCTCGTATCTGTGCTTGTGTTTTGCAATTATTTGTTACATAAAATTTCTTGTACCATAATATGTTAAAAAATAAATGCTAAAATTCCCTTACAATACAAAAAACAAGTACCTAAATGTAAACAAATACAATTTTGAATTCAAAATTAAAATAAAAGATTTTTTCCCTGAAAGTTTGGGCCAAAAATGTGGGTGTGCATTATACATGGCAAAATATGGTAAATGAAATCATATAGTGTGTACTCCTTTGTAATGGTTTATTTCACTCAATGTTAGTCAGGACCATGTAAAATAATGTTTATAAAAGATTTGTTCATAATAGAAGAAAACTGTAAAAGCCCAAACATCCATCAACAGAATAGATAAATACATTGTGGCAAAATCTGATAATACTATACTATAATATAAAGTAATAAATACCATACAGTAATAAAAATGAATGACCTATATCTATATACAACAACATGGATGAATTATGCAAAAACATAATTTTGAGTGAAAGAATGAAATCACGGGCAAATATACTGTTTGAATATATTTATTTAGAATTCAAAACCTGGCAAAACTAAATAATGTTCTACTTAGGGCTACCTGTATAGGTATAAAATCTTCAAAAACCCCCAAAGGAATCATTAATATATAATTCAAGATATTGGTTACTGCCCAGTGAGAGGCATCTAAGAGGCTCTGAAAAGTACGAATGCTCTAGCTCTGGTCTTAGTGGTATGTACCTGGTGTTCATTTGTTGCCCTTGAACATGTGCATGGTTATCTACATTCACTCCTCTGTGTACACTATATTTTCTTTAAATTGCAGATTCCAAGGACACAAAACCAGACATTTACATTAAATAGGCTAAGACAGCGCCAAGAAATATGAATTTTATCAAGTCCCCATGATGATTCTCATAAAAGTAGTCATCTGAAGACCACACCTGGGGTGCTACTTATTATTTCTATGGGTTTAAACTCTTCATCTTTGGAACTTGGGATTTTAAAAAGAGCTACGTGATTAAAGGAGGAAATTTATAATAAGTAAATGCACAACTCTTGTTATTCCAGAAATTATCACTTTACTATACAGAAAGACTAAATATTTACAAAAGAAGATCAAAAGAAATTGCATTTTTAGATCACAGTAGGAAAGTTACACAAGAGTCGGATAAACAAACAACATCATAAAACATCTCCGTACCATGTCAGTATCATCCAGAAAAACCCAGTCAGCCATTATGCCACAGGTTGAAGTGTTTAGTACCTGAAAATCAACCTAGTGGCCTCTTAGTTTATCATTTGCCTATAAAAATATAAAACCCTGGCATCTTTACAAACATGAAGTTGTTGTCAGTGAACGTAATGGGAATAAAATTTTGTTAAAGGAAATTAAATATAAAAAGATGACATAAGTCAGCTGCCAGTCGATATTAATGTTAAATATTTTTTAAGATGCATTAAGTTATAACAATCAGTCCAGGCAATATTGTTTAGTTATTCTAGAGATCTGACTATAGAGTGCTGTTATTCCAGGCAACCTTGCTACGGCATGACTTCATTTTACATATGTACAGATTATGTTATTGTATATACACATCAAGGAACTACTCCAATCATCATATCTCCATCGTAGTGCCTATTTTTCAGGCAGAAAGTTTTCCTTTGGCTTCTTTCTGTGAGCCATTTTAGGCAGCCATTTTTTCCCAGGAATTCACTATATTCAGGGAAATCTGGACTCTCAGTTTGTTGTTTTCCTCATGAAATGATGAGCAGTATTAAGGATTTGGACGGATAAATAGTGTCTCTGGTTGAACATTGCAAACATTGGCTACACTTTTGACTTCTGTGCTTCTACAAGACTGTATGACCCCTTCATGTTGGCTTTTCTAGCAAAGTAAATGATCATTCCAATGGCAGGTATTATTAAGGAGGATGCACAATAGAGCACGAGGAGTTCTGGAGAAAAATAGTCCTTGCTATTTCCTCTTCCTGGAAAATAACAAAACGGATGCAATTAATGTCTAATATGAAAAAGAAACTGTGTAATAATAATATTTACATGTTTTATCAGTATAACTCATTCTCTAAAGAGACATGAATCAAAGCAGTGATAAGAGCCAATAGGACCCAACATGCACATTCCTCTGAATTATCAATAATTACTTGGTAGTTGCTATGGTCATTGTGGGTCATGATGACAGTTGTTGACTTCCACAAACTTGGATTAAAATACATTCAGTTTCAATTGTAGAATGAGAGGAAGAGTGCAACTTTTTAGGGCTCATTTATAAGAGTGAATATTGGAGAGGAGTGTTTCAAAGCTTTGGGAAATACAAATATCTACTAAAGAACTAGGACTCTGATTACCATGAATTGAAATGACCAACCAGTTCTCCAACAAAATCCTGTAGCTTCTGGAGTATATAGTCAGACACTATATATGAGATAGCAAGAGAAATAATTCTTACCAATGGCTTTTTCAGAGATATATAGAAAACTTTATATTCTGTATCTATAAAGTATCATCTCTTGATAAGCTGAAGTTCTTTGGAGAGTATCATATTTTAGCATAAATGTTCTTACTCAAAGAGGCATTCTCTGACCCTCATAACTCTATCACCGTTTGTGATTAAACATTTGTTTGTATCATGATCTATTAAATTTGATTTCCTCCTATAGAGTGTATATTACATAAAGATTTGCACCTATTTTCTTTTTGGTCCACCACTGAGTAGCAAGTACCTAGTTCACTACTTGGAGCAGTTGGTACCCAATACATATTTTTTGAATAGTAAGGCTTTTTTTTTCTTTCTACATCCTATCATTTTGTCAATTAGCTGTTAATTGGGTATTGAAGGTAATAGCATATAAATATAAAAACTAAAGTTAGTACTCTATCTAATCTACTAAAAATTATCTGACAGCTGCAATGCTATTTAACATCTTAACCTTATAAGAACATCTGAAGAAGATAGCATGGCATTTACTGGAGAATCATTATTATTTGTACTTATGTTTGCACAGCATCGTATAACCTCTCAAGTGTCAAGTTTCTTCAAATGGTACATATGCTGTCTCAGTCTTAGAAAAAATGAGTGATCTGACTTTGGTGATTACTATATTCCCTCCAGAGGATTTTAATCACTGGAGGTCAACTAAGTAGAAAAGAACTACTAGAGTCAGATGATGGGAAGTCAATTTTTTCAAATTATTAAAGTTAAAAACACTTTACCCTAAACATAATCATAATTGCCTCATTTTTCTACTTTCCTTTGCTAGAGTAGAGCTAGTCAAAGAAAAAAGGTAATGTTTTAATGCGCTGTGCATTATCATAATTATGGTTAGGCATCAATGTTGATGATATATTGGGAAATGGTATTTCTGTTCCTATTGATTTATTTTCAAGTTAATAAGTATTATCTTTTGCTTTCAGTTTTCCCCTCAGACATTTGCAATAAAACACAAATTTGCTGTTGAGTCGCTTACCAGAGTTATATTCAAATACAATTTTCTATTAGCTGTGTAAACACTGAAAATCCACAAGACTCCCAACTAGCTCTATCATTGGAATACATTTAAGCCAACAAAAAACAAAATGAAAATAATTTTAAAACTCAGCAAAATACAAAGGAAAAGTAGTTCAAAATACCCAGGAAAATATCAGTTTCCTGTCTGCATTTATTTCTAGTCATTTTAAATCAAATTTAATTTGGGGGCCTGAATTTCTAGCTGAATGCCTAACACGCTCATTTAAGTAATAAGTGAAAAGTGGCAAATACATGTTGCTAATTTAATAAAGAACTTAGAAAAGACAATGTGTGACAGAAAAAGAATTAAAAAGTGGAGGAGCTTTGATATGTCTTTAAAGAGAATCAGTAACTACAAACAAAATTACAAAAATGTTAGGAGTCTGATTTCCTGGGACTAGGCTTAATTAAAGGTGTCCTGGAGGCAAGGACTAAAGGAAATAGGAATGAATGAATTTCAACCTACTCTTAACTGAGATCTCAATCCATCCAGAATCATCCCCAACTTCATTGGAAGCACTGATTACATACACCCCCGTATCATTTTGCGTGACATGATACAAGGTAAATATCCCATTCTTTGAACACATAGTAACTTCATTGGCCACATTGACTCTTTTCAGGGTAATCACTGCAGGTGGATGACTAAAAGTTTTACATGTAATTGTGATATTTTCCCCTTCTTTAACATTTCTAGAAGGATGTACTGATATTGTCGTGTTTCGAGGAGGTACTGTGAAGACAGAAAACATAGAGTAAGGCTTGCAATCTTGAAAAATTGGGGTAGATGAGTAAAATTTTACTCATTTTCTGACCTAGGTTCAAATTCTGTTTATGTTGACAAGTGGTTGCTAACTCTGATAGCCAAGTGCCAGAGGCTATTAAGAGGGTTGCATTTATTTGCAGTATCTTCACTCCAACTATGGCTTCCAATCCACAATGGAAGGTAATTGGCACGCAAGCAGTGGAAGATTGACTAGGAAAGGCTGACATACTCTGTCTACACCAATAAGACCAATCGGTCTCACTGTGCATTCACAAGAGGAGTTAGAAGATTAAGGGGCTCCTAAAGTTTCTCTGGTGAGACCGTTCCCCTCTCCCCCACTCTCTCCATCAGAAATCCAAGGGGCTTGGATTTTTAAGGAGACAATTCTGTAGTCTAGAAATTCTTGTATGTTATTTTGCATCGAAATGGCCACTCCTGATTATTATCCTGAAAAGAGTCAATCCAGAAAACACGCAGTTACTCCACGTTCAGAGAATAACATTCTCTCCTGGTAGGAAAGAAAAGGGCCTGGATAGAACCCTCCTTTTTCCATGTGCCAATACTATTTCTTTTGTTTCCTTGTAGCCCCCAGGGAAAGATTTTGAAAACATGTTTAAACACTTAGGATATATAAGACTTCAGAGGCCAATGATGAATTGTGAACTTTGAAAAAAGCAAATAGGAACTCTACAATGATTAATGTCAACTTCCTGGCTAAACTCTGTAGGATAGAGCAGCTGTGCATTATTATTTTAGGAAACATTAAGAAAGAATCACAATCAACATGGAACTCAGCTCCATTTTGCCAACTCATTCATCTAATCCTAGAAATTTTTTACAGTCCACCAAACTTCTGACCTATTATTAAAAATAATGAAAAACAAAAACAAAAAAATAACTAACCTTTAACATCAAGTGTTATACTTCTTAATTGCAAGCCAATTTCATTTTTAGATTCACACTCGTACACTCCTGCATCCTCTAACTGGGCCTTGTGGATGGTATATGCACCATCTGTAGACTTTAGCACTGTGTCTCCTGTCTCTGCTTTTTTCTTCAGGATTATCCAAGTTTGGGGAACATTTCCGCACGTACAGGAGATAATGACAGTGTCTCCTTCCTTGACGCTCTCAGAAGGAAAAGCCATAAGTTGTATATCTTTTGGAGCAACTGTAAAGAGAATTGAAAAGGCACCTCCGATTGAGTGAAATATACACTATTAAGATCAAGAAATTAAGCCGTGCAAAGGTGGCTTTCTTACTATCCTTAACATCCACAACCACCATTAACTAAATGCTAGGCACTGGGCTAAGTGCTTGACATACAATATGTCTATTAATACACAACCCATGGTAGGAGGTACCCTATCACCATTTGATAAGTGAGAGTCCCTTTAGGTTTATCTGTTTTTCTGACTTGATTTGAGATTCTTTTCTCAAGCAGAGCGACAGCACCATGACATCTATCCTAACGGCTTTTTTTAAAATGGAACATTGCTCTTCTAAGATTCTTCTCTTAAAATACAAATTATCATTGAGATGAGGTAACAAGAAAGTCACTAATACCTTAGTGGAAATAATACCACGGAGTAAGAGAGGAAATGAGCGTGCCAGTGAAGAAAAGGGCCTTGAACCCCAAAAGGGAAAGTAGGAGAGAAAATCCAAATTGTTCACTCCATGATTTTGCCTAGAACTGCCTATGGCTTCACCTGTCAATGAGCATTGTATTCTCAGCCTTAGCTCTCAATCCTAGAGAGAGGGTCTGGATCTGATAACTTAATCCACTCTAGTGGTTCTATGCCATCACACTGATGAATCAGAGGCCGCAGTCACTGCTACTCTTAACCTCAAAATTTACAAAAGGTTTAAGTGCCTTCTTAGGCTTCTAAGCAAATACTAACTAGCAGGCACCTTGTGAGATTACCACTGAGAGTCCAATTCAGCCGGATACAGTGGTTTTAATCCTAAATAATCTTCAAATACATGTATACCTCTTCCTGTCCTCATTTCAACACAATAATCATTGCCTTGCAAGTGTAACTGGAACTCCTGGCACAGTTCCTAGGGCTAGCATTCCACTTGAGGTTAAAAGAATTTCAGGATAATTGATTTGGGATAATGGGTCATGAGAAAGTACTACGCCAGGCACTTTGCATGCGTAGGAAACATTATGAGCTCTTCAAAACCCTCAATACATTTTGTTTTAGTAAAAATTTTGTTTTTAAAAAGGACATTGTTCAGGCTGGCCAAGTGGCACATTGGTTAAGAGCTGGCTTGGGACGCCAGAGGGCCCTGGTTCGGATCCCACATATGAGGGCCAGTGACACTGCCCTCTACAGCTAAGATGCTGAACAACAGCGCAACCTGGAGCTGGGCTGCTGTGAGTTGCCAGCGACGGCATAGGCTGCAGACCCTGTGGCAGTGGGTTGCCATGGGCTACCGTGTGTAGCCAGCAGCCAGCGTGAGCGGCCGCCCAGAAGCCAGCGACTGATCTGCCTCACCCAGGAAGAGCGCAATGATGGTGCCAACTTGAGCCAGTGAAGCAACGTCCTCCACAACTAGACTGAAGAACAAAAGGACAGCAACTTGTCTGTTCCCCTTCCCCCAATTCCCCAGTGCTGTTCCCATCCCCCAATTCCCCAATAAAAATATTAAAAAATAATAATAATAATAAGGACATTGTTCAAAACCAATAACACAATCAAAATAATATGAGCAATAATAACTCATTAATGCTCTCTTTGGATAATTAATTCAACTTCTTTTCTACTCATTTCAACCTGGTTAATCCTTTCACACACATAAGTACAAGAACTTTCCTTTTTTGTAGAAATTAAGGTGAGAATTGTATTCTTGGAAAGTGGCTGTAGATCCTCATTGTTTAGCTGCCTACTCCACAGAATTTTTGGAGCTGGAAGGCCATTGCTAGAGTATGTCATATTTACAGAACTACCCTCCTCCAAGATGGAGGAAGTGCTGACCAAAATTATTGTATTCCTGGGGCAACTGAAAAGGTAGGGACACTTGCTAGCTTGAAACTTATACCCTGAATTCCAAAGAGTTTAATAATGTTGCAAAAATGAACTATTGATCCTTTGGATTAGAAGAGTTTATAAACCTCGATAACCACCAAAGGAGGTTTCTGTCCCCTTTTACTTTAGCAGATACAGAATGACAGAAAGTAGAATATAAGATACATAATAGGTATTTTCTAATACAAATAAGTTCTACAGAAACTCTTGCTACCAAAGAATGGATAATCAGTGATAGTGTGTTATTGGCATTTATGGTATGTTAAACATTACCACAAATTATTTGAGTCACTTGTGAAAAGGTGGGGGTTTATTTTTCCACCCCTTGAATGTAGGCTGGCCTTGTGACTCACTTTGACCAATATAACATGGAAGAAGTAACATTCTAAGCCTGAGACTTAAGAGGCTGCTTTCATTATCACCCTTTTGAAACACTGTGCTCTGGTGACTAAACCTAGGCCACCTTCCTTGAGGGTAAGACAGCACATGGAGAAAGGGAGGCCCAGGCATCCCAGAAAAGGCCTCAGGCATGTAAGTGAGGCCCTCTGGACCAACATCCCCTGCTGACCTGCCAACTCACTGAAAATGCACGAGTTCACGTGATACCATACTGAGCAGACAAACTGTCCGTGTGACCCCTTCCAAAATTGCCCACTCATAGAATTATAGGCTAATAAAAGGTTATTCTTTTAAGGGTTGGAGATGGTTTGTTATAATAATCATTATTTTGACATTTCTTTTCAGTTTTTTAGAGGTTTTAACCATTAACCTCATGTTAACTGTTGCCTGACAAACAGGATAAAGAAATCTTTATTAAAATGTGGATACATCACACATACGCTTACCTTTAACATGAAGTGTCTGTGTACTCTGCCTCTGTTTGGGTTCAAATTCCGTTTCACCAATATGTAACTTAGCTTGACAAACAAGGACTTTTCCTGTATCTTCAGTGGTGGGGATGAAGGTCATTTCCAAACTCTTGTTCTCTAGGGATTTCTTATGTACGTCCATCAAAAAGGTTTCAGTCTTCATAACACTCTCCCCTTTAAGTAATTCAATCTCCAGCTGGTCTGAAGGATACACATTAGGAACCTTGCAGCTTATATTGACCGGATTTCCACTCACTAGTAGACTACTCATCTCAATTTCTGGATCTCTAGGGAATGCTGCAAATATCAAGGAAAAATGATGTTTATATGTGACACTCAACAGAAAAACAAAAGTAATCTCTGTTAAATGCGAAGGTCTCAAAATGACAATTTTAACTCACCTGGGATAGGATGATCACCAATATAGAAATAATGACAATAAGTATAAATAGTTATTTAAAAAAGTAAAATATTTATGATATTAAATATAAATAATACAGGAAACAAAAAAATACTTAGTACATGAAGTAATCAAGTAATGAATATACTTCTTATTTTTCTCTTCTTAGTGATGATGCAATCTTGCTAACAGTCATGGACTGGTCTTTCAAAGGACACATGAGCTTCCACCATCTTATTTACTAACTATATATTTTAAATGTTTTAAATATTTGCCATGATTACTGAATATTTACTATAATTGTATTTGTTATCTCAGTCTTCAAAGCAGCCTGATAAAATAGGCATTATTTAAATTATTTTACAACTAAGAAAAACTTATAGAGAACTTGCTTTATAGCTAAGAAAATTTATAAAATTTATAGAAGCTAAGAGATTTTCATTAGGCATCATATCTCTTAAGTCACTGAGTTGAGATCAGAGCCCATATTTTTCTGAGCTCACAGTCCAGACTTGGTTTCATAGAGCCATGCATCCTCTCGGTATCAAATAAGACTGACAGGACACTTCTCAATTTAAATATTTTAATTTCCAATGGCCAAGTTTAAGTGGAAAGTTTTAAACATTTCTCAGACATCACTTGTAGTGAAGAAAAAAACTATGAAAGATTTGGATTCTAAATAATATCTATAATACATCTTATACAAATCAATAAAATGAGACTAAAATGGTTATCAAGAGCAAGAGCAACACTAATTTTTTTTCCTTAAGTAAAATGTTCAAGTGATACATTCTTAAATATTTCTATACTGCAATAAAATTTCACTGCTGGGTCTCTTTTTCTGTTGGAAATGTGCCTACATCAGCAGATCCTGGACTCTGGGTAATATGATAACACGATAAAAGTTACCCTCCTTTTGAGAGATTCAAATTCCTTACAGATATATTCTAACTCATTCTGAACATATCCTGAAGAGTACAAGTTTTCTGGTAGAAAATCTCTGCAATGTGCTCTCTTGAATTCTGCTGAATAAGACAAGGCAGAGTAACCCTCTCAAAGAAATTACTTTGGTCACTTTGCATATTTTGTCTCTCATTCATTATAAACTAAGGAACCCCAGCAATGGAAAATTCATAAATTTGAGGTTGTAATGGATTCTTATTAAGGCGACACGAACAGCAAGAAAAAGCGTAGTGTATATATGTAGTTAAATCAATATTGAGATCTAGTGCTATCCGACGGTTCTGATTTCACCTGAGCTGCTGCCACTGACCATCTCCTAAGCCTGCTCTAACTCCCTATCTTCATTTTTGGCTTTCTCCTGCTCCCCGTTGCCTCATTTTTCTCATCCTGTCTATCAGCTTTCCAAGTGTGC